GTAGCCATATATCCCCTCCCCAAATCATTTAAAGTGAAAATAAATCAGCCAGCATGTTAATTCAAGAATAAAAAATAAACTGGAGTGACATTCTGTTATTATGACATCAATATATACCCATAGTTAAAAGAGATAAACAAGAAAACAAAAGTCACCCAAACCCAGAGATACAGAAAAATTTTGGTTCATTTACATTCTGGAGAAAGTTGAAGCACCAGGTACAAAGTGATTCTCAATGAGATCTGTAGTCTCTTTTTCTCCATAATTTATACCTCAAGTATTTAGAGAACTTATATGGCATTTGCTAAGTAAGACTGTTTGCATTAAATAAAATCTTGGGGAATGGTAAAAGTAGAAAACTAGATCAGCTTAATACAGTACTGATTTTCACAAGAGAAAAAGATTAATTTCTAAAATTAGTTTGAACTTGTGGTTACCAGAAAAAAGGTCTAAAAGGCATCCTTAATTTTTTTAATGGTTGTGTTTTTTATTACTTTTTTAAACTTGATATAACTTTGGGACACTCCCATCAGATATTACTAGTATAGTATACCTATCATCAATTCCTCTGTATTCCACTATCATGAACCATTGTGGTTTAGAAGGCATTCTTAATACCACGGCTAAAGAGCACAGAGTAAAGTAGAGCAGGAATTGCCAAGAATTATATTCACAAGAAACAGATTACTCCCAACTTAACATATTTTGGGTAAATTGGAGGAAATAATAGTTTTAACAGGTCATCAGAGAAAAACTTTTATGATCCCGTTGAGTTTAAAATAAGGTGAGGCTAATGATTATTGAGTTTTTTAAATCATGACAGGTTGAAGGACTTTTTTTTTTAATACAAGCACTGGGTACAGTCGAAAGCGCAGAAGGGTAAGAGAATTCACCAGAGCAGAGCAGAGCAGACAGACTGATGAAGTATACTGCTGAGGGGAGCAGTGGGCATGGCAGGAGAGGTCTGCATGCCATGTGGGACCCTCGCCCAGCAGCTGGGGATCAAACTGGCGCTGCAGAGGCTGTGGGCAGCTTCGCAACCCAGCGCTCAACTGCTGCACCACCGGGGAGGCCCAGGTTGAAGGATTTTATCTGATGGCTATGGTATAAAGAATCAGTAACTTGGATGAGGACTGCTATGGCCTGCCTAAATTTATCAGTTTTATTATTAGAGGAGGATATAACATACATGTTCCATAAACATATCTTTCAAAAAAAATGTACCAGTAACTGTCAACGAAGATCAAATATGTGCGAAAAATGTATTACGGTTTTTTGAATGAAATATGTTCTATCTATCTATCTATCTATCTATCTATCTATCTATCTATCTATCTATCTATGACCACTGTATCACAGCACACAGGACTCCTAAAAAAAAATATTAGGAGTTTTGGGAAATGGACCATTTCTAGTAAGAAGAAAAAAAAAGAAGGTAGGAAAAGATATTTAATATGATGTGCAGTATGAGTCTATTCATTTTGCTTTTCTGAGACTTGCTGGGAGTGTGGAATGTTAGCAAGAACAAGTATTTTAAAAATCAGATTTTAAAATAAAATTAGTATGAGTTAGTCTTATCATATGGCTCTTAAAATTTTAAGGCAAAAAATAGTTACATTCTGCACATGAAAATTTCACCTTGAATGTTATCGTTAATTCTTGTCATTAATTGCTATTACATAGATAATCCTTAGAAAGTCAACTAGGACAATTAAACTGTTTCTGAGTGGTTGGATTTATATGATAATATGGTCTAGTTCCTTGTTCTAAGTCCAAAGCTATATTTTTTCTTCCCCATTTTACAACCTAAGCCTCATGCTTCATAGATTTTTTTTTTTTTTTAAACATTAGGGATGTTTAGAGTAGACAAAATGGGAGACATGTCACACATGTCTATTCAGGACCTTAATTAAGGGAATATTATTCAGAAGAGAGAACAGTTCTGTAGAACCCAGCCATAATGACATGGAAGATTAAAAAATCTATTAGTTTAAAATTGATACACTATGGTAACGCAAAAAAGAAGAAAATTTAGGAAGGCAAGAGAACTCAGAAAAGTTCAACAGAGATTCAACAAAATTCCGAATGAGCTGAGAAATTAATGAACAGAGGGTAGAAATTTCTTATTTAAAAAAGAAAACTAACAAATTCAGGATGTAAAGAGCTCGGTAAGTGAGATCAGGAACTTTAGGGAAAGCTTTAAAACAGAAAAGACCATGTGGGGGATTGAATAAGTTTTCTCAAAGATGATAGTGCACAAAGGACATGGGGAAAGGAAAGAGTAAGGATGTAAAATTAAAAGAGGAAGAACTATTTGACTCCTGAGGGGACAAATAAGTATACTGGGTGTTCCAGAAGAGAGAGAAATTAAAGGGAAACAGAGAGCTTATTTTTAAAAAAATGATAGTAATCGAAAAAAACATAGCAAATCTGGGGAAGGAATTAACAAATCTATGAAGGTAAAAAATTACCTGGTTGTCTAAATGCAATGAGTCCTACATCAGTTCACATAGTAGTGAAACTACCAAGATTTCAAGACAAAAAAAGAAAATAAAGGAGCCTAGGAGAAAAAAAGCAGGTAACTTATAAGGATATTCCCACTAGGCTTTTATTAGATTTTTCAGCTGACATGCTACAGACAAGTCAAGAAATGAGTGACATATTTAAAATACTTAAATACTGCCAGTCAAGAATATTTTACCTTCAAGACTATTTCTCTCTCTCTCTCTCTCTCTCTCTCTCTCTCTCTCTCTCTCACACACACACACACACACACACACACACACACCATGAGCAAGGACATAGGACCAGAAAACTAAAGACAAAATGGATGTGGTAAGCCCCCCATCTATCAATAATCACCCTGAATGTAACTGACTGAACTCATAACTGAAAAGGGACAGAATGGCTGGTTGGATCTAAAAGCAAATCACAGCATTCTGTTGTATCCAGGAGAGCCAGCTGAACTCCAGTAATAAACACAGACTCAAAATATTGGAAAGCAATCACACAGATAAATGGTAGGCAGGGAAAGTGATATTTATATCAGATAAAAGACCTGTAGCTAAAAAGTAATGACACAGTGAACATCTTATATTATGATGTGATCAGTACATCAGAAGGACATAACACCCATCAATATATATGTGCCATGTGAAGGAGCATCAATATATATGAAGTATCTATTAAGATTTAAAAGGAGACATGGACAGCACTACAGTACTAGTAGAGACATCAAAACTCCACTACATCAGTGGATAGGTCAGCCGAACAGAAAATCAACAAGGAAACAACAACCTTAAATAAGGAATTAGATCAACTGGGTTTAATAGACATTTATAGACCACTGTGCCTGAAAAAACATGAGTACATATTCTTCCTAAGTGCACATGAAACATTCTCCCAGATAGACTACATGTGGGTACAGTGCCCAATGACAGATGAATAGATAATAAGATATGGTACATGTACAAAATGTAATACTAAGTATAAGAAAGATGAAGTCTTGACATTTGCCACAACATGATGGAATTGGAGGGGATAATGCTAACTAAAACATGACAGAAGGAGAAAGTCAAATATGGTATGATTTCACTCATATGAAGAATATAGTGAAATAAAGGAATAGTCAAAACTTTTGGGAGAAAAAAGTTTTTGTATTATGCAGAAATCTTGAATTGGCAAAAAGCTTGACCTATTTCGAGAAGAGATAGAAGAACAGTTGGACTGGAGTAAGCAGAGGAAGAGCTCCATAGTTAAGAATGCAGAATAGATAGCCGAGAACCAGTGTCAGATAATAAATACACTAAATTTTGTGGGCTACACGATCTGTGGTAACTACTCAACTCTGCTACATTATGAAAGTAGACACAGTCATATGTAAATGAATGAAACATTGTTTTTATTTAAAAATATGAGAACCACTTTAAAATATAAATATTTCCTAAAAATATAAAAATGTTTATTTGCTAACCCATACAAAGACATATTGCAGGGAGAATATCACTGAAGAATTACAGTTTGCTATCTCCTGCAATGGACTTATGTTTCCTGTTCTTTTTAAAACTCTTTACTCTCTTCCTCTTAAATGATATTTAGTTTTGCCATCACTTTTTTCTTCAGTTTTCAACATCTTTTTCAATATTCCGATAAATGTTGATTGATGCTAAGTAAACAATGGTAATATCTCTTTTTCTATTATTTATCTGAGTGTTCTATCTTACACTTGAAAATTGGTATACTGTTACTGACCCATTCTGTATTTTTATCCACAGCCTTTAAAAAATGAATAATTTTATTTTTTCCTATTTAATTTTTCTTTCCTAAGGGTTATATGTGGTGCTTTCTACTTTCAAACCTCATACTGCATTTTTTCATCTTTTCCTTACCCGGTAATAGTTCTTATAAAATTTAATTCTGGCATTCAAAATTAAAAATAATAGACATCAGAAAAACAAAAATAGTGTCCATATAATTTCAGAACCACAAATCTAACGTTCTGACTAGAAAGGGAATTTCTAGTTACTTTCTTGAAGTGTGCCATTCAGTCAGCTTCCCCACGAGATGATGGAAAACGTTATGTAGTGGAAATAGTACACACACAGCCGGTTAAAATTTCATCTGACACATACTAGTATAAAGATATTGTACAACTTAATATGTTGGAACCTAAGTTTCCTTGAAGCGTGCCAGATACTTAGTTAATGTATGGAAATTCCCATCCACCCCTTTTCCTCTTAAAGTATTACCTTTTATCACACAAAAGGAGCCATGTTTAGAAGTTTGGGAACAAACATAACACATTTGGTGATGGTGAGGGTTTTGGTTTTGGCTTTAATCTTACGCAGATAGGAGTTAAAATAAAAATCATTATTCCCAAAATGAACCAATATATATTAAAAAAAATAATATATTTAAAAAATAATATAGACCATAAATAAATATCTGTACTTTTTTCTAATATTTCCTTTGCCTTATTTATTTTACTTCTGGAAACTTAGGTCTGACAGTTCTCTGCAAGATCTGCTTCAGAGTGGACCTCACCCACCTGCAACTTCTCAGGTTTTACATACTGGTAGCCCAGTAGCCACACTTTCTAAAGTAATTACTAGGTAGGGTTTTTCCTTCCTGGTATGCATAAATTTTAATACTGGTGGTGAAATTAAATACTAAAACTGTCTTTTTAGTAAAAGGAAAAAGTAAACATGGATTAAAACACTGACATCATTAATATATAAATGAAAAAGTTTGGCACCCCATCTCAGAATTTCTTTACACTGTTTTTATGTTTTTTTTATTATTTGTTTAGATTCTCAGTTCCAATATAGAGTCAGGAAATCTGGCCTTTTATTCCCTGAGATTTGGAACGTCAACTTTCTTAAGTTTGTCTTAAGTCTTCTTTCCTGAATTAGAGCATTCAGCTCTAAAAAAGTGGCAGTAGAAATCATGTCTCAGGTACCCAGGCATATTCTAAAGGTATTTAAAGGTAAATAATTCTTAGGAGATTTTGCTGGACTCTGCTATTATTAAGTTCTTTTATATTATCATTGTGAAATTCAGTATTATTTCCTTTTTCCCTACAGGAGAAAAAGGTAATTTAGCAGCTTCATTTTTTTAGTGGCTTTTCTTACAGACTGAAGTTTCTGGATATTATTTGCCGGTTTAGTCATTTCTCAATAACTGCAGGGGATTGGTTCCAGGATTCCCTATAGATAGACCAAAATCTACAGATATTGTCCTTCATATTAAATGGAATAGTATGTGCATATTATCTACATATATTCTCTTGTATATTTTAAGTCATCTCTAGATTACTTATAAGAGAGATATCAGAGCTACTGTGGGTTCAGTTCTAGACAAGTAGAGTAAACTTAAATATCTCAATAGAGTTACATATTTACATTACACAGAGGCTTGTTAAGTGTATGAAAGCAGTATGTCTGAAAACAATATACCTACCTTCATTAAAAATTACTTAATTGCTAAAAAAATGCTAACTGCCTCTGACCCTTCAACAAGTTGTAATTTTTTTGTTGGTAGAGGTTCTTGCATCAGTGTTGATGGCTGCTCACTGATCAAGGTGGGAGTTGCTGAAGGTGGTGGTAGCCATGGCAACTTCTTAAAGTAAGACAATAAAGTTTGCTACATCAGTTGACTCTTCCCTTTATGATAGATTTTTTTGGCACATGTGATGCTGTTTGATAGCATTTTACTCATAGTAGCACTTCTTCCACAATTTGACTCAGTCCTCTGAAACTCTGAAACCTTGCTGCTGTGTTTTCAACTAACCTTATATAATAATTTAAATTCTTTGTTGGCCTGTCAGTGAAACAGAACACACTCACTTATTAAGTCTGCTCTCTTATATGGGCACATTTCATGGCACCCCCCCCCCCGCCAAGTAATTGCAATAGTAACATAACAATCACTGATTACATATCACTGTAACAGATATGATAATGAAGAAGTTTAATACATTTCTAGAATTACCAATATGTGTCACAGAAACACCTACTCTGTACATACATAGTGTTGCAAAGTGGTGCTGATAGACTGCTCAACATGGGGTTGCCACAGACCTTCAATTTGTATAAAATGTGATCACTACAATGCACAATAAAGCAAAGCACAGTAAAATGGGTATGCCTTATATAAAGCTGATGCTATGTGAGTAGTTGCTACACTGTGTGTTTAGGGAATTAAGACAGGTAATTACAGATGATCACTGCAGATGCAACTGTCCTGGGCCTGACTACATAGTAATTCAATCTTTAGTTGGTTGAATCTGCAGAGTGTAACCTGCAGATAATGAGAACCAACTATACTTCTCCCGAACAGCCATTACTTCAAAGAGGCAGAGTTAATTGAAAAACTCAAAACTGAATCACTTATAGACTCCCTTCTTCCTCTGGCATCTCATTTGTCTTCCCCTTCTCTGATACTAATAGTATCATTTCATTCTTTTCTCTTTCCAACCCCCATTCTTCTCTGACCATTCACACAGCTGTTAAAACACTGTCATGATTCAATTAATTATATATATGCAAAAAATATAGTTAAATCTGTATAATTTTTGATAAAATGATTTGCCAGTGTGTCTTTAATTTGTCTTCCAAACTATAAAATTATAGCATATAGAACTAGGAATAATAGATTATCAAATTCTGCTGACAGGGACAAAAAACTTCGACAACTTCGAAAGTTTCATTAACTTAGGTTGAGCTTGGCACATAATTAGTTTGTGTTGGAGGTGGCTACTATCACAAACTTTGAAGAAAGTCATTATAGTATAGTGAAGATATTCATTAATAACCTACATGTATAAATGAGGGAGACACTGCAAGTTTACACTGTATTTTAGACTTTTTTTACTTAATAAATTCTCAATTCCAATTTGATAAACTAACTTGGAAATTATTATAGTCATAGTGATGGAATGTTAGTTTCTGTCTAGGTGCCCGATCGTTCATAAATTAACCACAGTAATTAATTACTGTGAAATGAAGAAATTTAAGAAATTAGAGTTCTGAAGATAAAATTTCATACCAACCTTTTTAAACCTTATGCAACTAACTGAAAATAGAATACAGAACAGCAGAGAAAGTGATGTTGTGGTCACATTCACTGTAACTACTACTAATTTTACAAAAGTACTTGCCCTCTCCAAACAGCTTTTTTCCCAATATTTTCAGTAGTTATTTCCTGTTCATATCAATAGTATTTCTGCTGCTCAATAGGCAGCTGATTGAACCTGCCCCTGAAAATCACATGTCTCATTAAAATGTCAGATTCTGGGTATATGTACCCTTAAAACATTTTTATATAAAGATATTTTGAAAAAAATCTAACTTTCCTGTAATCTTCTTAGAAATTTAGACTTCATGTTTAGATTTACATTCTGCTTAGTTGTTGACAAATTAATCTTCAAATGTTTGTTATCTGATTTTGATTTAATTTTAAAAGCACTAGAGATAATGAACTTACATATATTCAAAGGTATTTTTGTCTCAAAAATCATTTTTATAATGGATATCATTTTAATTTGTGAGAAATAGTAACAGTAATAAATAACCTGATCTATTACACTTCTGATATTTTGTAACTTAATATTTAAGTATTATATATAGGATGGTTGTTCTCATCTTTATTATGTTACCTATTCTTACTGTCCTTTTGTTCTGTTTTCCTTTCCCCACCTACCAACTTAAGTAGCCCCACAAGAAATATGGTGACAAGTTCTTTGGAAGGTTTTCGCAACTTTTCTACCTTCCCTTCTCCTGCCAGATACAGTGCTGCCGTCCTGAGCAGTGCAGCTGCTACTGTGTCTGCTGTTATTGCTGCAAAAACCAGGTAGAACTACATGTGCACTGTGTGTCTGATGGGACTCGACAGTTTCCATTGTCTCACAAGTCACTTCAAAGAAAATCTAACCGTTTCAAACAGTCACAGCTGTAGTATGAGGTCTTAATTGTATTGTGGCTGTTTTATCCTGATTATGAATATCAGTGATAAGTACTGATTTTTCTTTAAATCATCCTTCTATTTCTTTTCATTGCTTACCATTTATAATTCAAGGATCAGTGGGTATTTTAAGTTGCTGTATTTTTTTTTCCCCTCTCACAACCTGATTAGATTTGAGAGTAATCTAAAGTCTTCACTGTTTTTGGAACACCGCTCCAATCCCCCCCCACCCCAATAAAATCTTTTTATTTTTGTGGGTTTTGTCTTTACATGACTCTAATGCTTTCTAAAAGGTGCTCTGATCAATCTTGGTGAAAATTTAATCACTTCTGTTGTTCATGAGTGAAATAGCATGATTTTAATAGTCTTTGACCTTTTCATTCTCTTATTACTGCTTTGTTCTCTTTCAGTCTGTCTCTGTCACCCTTTCTCTGGAAATGTTTCAAATCATATACTATAAAAACTACTTTCTGCTATTATTGTGATTTTCTGACTTGAAACTCTTTCTAAATGCTCACCAGGCTGTCCAGCCCTGAAAATTATCACTCACTCCTGGATGCGCTTTGCATCAGCCCTGTTTCCAAGCCTCTAGCTTTTTCATATCTCCAGTTCGCAAGGAAATCAACTGGTTCTATCGATGTTAAGGAAACAAGGTACTGTGGGGTTGATTCACAAGTGGTGGTTTGCTGTTAAAGATGTTGCTTTTTGTAATAACCACTATATTAACAAGCCTGATAAGAAAATCCTTGAGCTGATTTGTGTCCAGTTTTAAATTAACTGTAATTTCAGTATAAGGCATCTGTACAAATTTGTTTACTTTGTGTGATTATTAACTCATCTTTTAACCCTTTGTAACAGCTTTTACTATTGCACTTGGTGTTTGGTAAATAATTCTGCTATTGTTCAAATTATAATACAACTCTATTTTGTATTATATGGATGTAGCTATAAGTAGTAAATGTTTAGTAACATTTTGAAATGCTGAAAAAGTAATAATGGCTTTGATTGGCTGCTATCTTGTTTTTTTAATTTTTCATTGAAGTAGCATTGCATTATAACATTGTGTAAGTTACAGGTTTGTTTGTGTCATAAATCAACATCTGTATATACTACATTCAGTTTACACTAAAAGTCCGGTTCCTTTTTTCTTTCATTCTGCAACTGACCTCTTTTACCTCGTTAATCCACCTCCCTTTTCCCTTTTCTTTGGTCATCACTAATTTCATCTTATCTAAAAGTTTGTTTTTGCTTTATTTAGTTTACTTGTTTGTTTTGTTTCTTTCTGTATCACTTAGGAATGAAATCATGTCATGTTTATCTTTTTCCTTCTGAGTCATTTCAGTAAGCATAGTTCCTTCAGCGTGCCTCCCTGTTGTTGCAGAGGGCAAGATTTCATCTCATTTTATAGCTGAGTAATATTCCGTTGTGTATGTATGCCACATCCTCATGACTGGCTACTGTCTTATTCTTAAATGTGAAGATTTTACTGGGTCAGACAACTTAATTTCCACCTATCTGGGAAATGCTGAAATATGAAAATTGATTTTTCTACTAAATTTAATTATTAGACCGAAAGTTATTAGGCATAATATAAAAGCAAACAAAAATCCCAAGTGTTTACTAGAGGTAAAATCTTACTAAAATAATTGTATAAAATCATTTCTAGCAGAGCATAAAATTATAACTTAGATTTTTATCTGTTTTTTGAGTATTCTACTCTGTCCTATCTAACGAGTTCTGTTTAAGGTTTATATGTAAACATTCTGTCATTTGCTTCTCATAATAAAAATTGGTATATTGTAACATCAATCAGGTTTTAGTCTTTCATTAAACCGACTGAAAATGAATAAAAAAAGGTGATATCTTTTACACTTGTATTGAGAGACTAGAGAACAGTACTTAAAGAAAGAGAAAATGTAATACAATTTTTCAAAACTCTTTACAGTGAGAGGCGTTCTAAGACCAACTCAGCATATAGTTGTTCCCATGACCAAGCTTTATTTTAGTGAAAGAATACTAGGCCAAAGGGGCCTCCCTGCTCGAACAAGGGTTAAGTCTCAGCGCTATGAAGCTATCCACAGCCACTGCAGCACAAGCCACTGTAGCACGAGTTAGGTCCCCACCCAGGGTGCTAACCCACATAGCACAGCAGACCTCTCCTGTCTGGCTCAGCAGTATATTTCAGTCTGTCCGCCTATTCTGTCTGCTCCCCATTCTGTCTCTGGTAAATCCTCTTACCCCCCACGCCTCTGGCCTGTACCCCAATTCTTGTATGCATAAATAAATCAATCTTAAAAAAAAAAAAAAAAAGAATACAAGGCAAAATCAGCAAAGGGAAAAGTTATGTGGAATCATGTCCAGAAGGAAAGAGTGTCAAGCTTCTGAGTCCTCTCCTTGTGGAGTCACAGAACAAGTTTAACTCTGTAGCTATAATTTTTACAAAATGTGCTAAGTGTTATCTGTCAGAGAAGCACATTAGAAATTCAATGTATAAGACCAGGGTTTTTTTTTTTAAGCAGGGGGAAGAAAGAGGAATCCTTGACATAGATACCTGCCAAGTTCATATCAAAATTCCATATTCAGAAGGAAAGCAAATGTTTAGCATTGGCACAGTGCACCACCAGCAAGTTTCCAAATGCCAGTCACTGGCCAATCTTGCAAGCAGGCCTTCCAAAGGATACTCACCCTCAGGCCTACTTTGGCAGGTTTTACCCCAATTTCCAGAGGCATTGGAGAAATAGGAACTTTTGTTCATTTGATAACATGGTGGACATGAGAGAATTTAAAAACCATTTTCAATTAGATAATCTCAACCTAAACAGCAAATTAAGAGTATTTACTGAAGTAATTAATATAATACTCTTTTTTATTGATCTGTTACCTCAACAATGATTTCAGTCATTCAGAGCAATTGAGCTTCTGTGCATGGCATTATTTGAACAACTAGTTTAATATTGGGTTGTATTATTGTTGTATGTGTTTTATTTTACTTGATAGATATACAGTTAATCCTTGAAGAGCAGGGGCTTAGCCTGTGAAGTTTCACTTTTATGTGGATTTTCTTGTAAGCAAACAGTGTAAATTATGGTATGGATAAATTAAGTACAGAATTAGGAATATATTTTTGAATTTTTTTCTCTAGCTACGTTATTATAGGAATACAGTGTATAATATATGTAACATGTAATACAATACGTGTTAATTGACTTTGTGTTATTGTAAACCTTCCTAATTAATACACACTATTGTAGTTAATTTTTGGGGACTTATATGTGGACATTTTACTACATGGGGTGGTCAGTGGTGAGTGCCTTAACACCACTTTTGTTCAAGGGTCAGCTGTATCCATTGCTGTTGCATCATTACAAAATGCTTGTATTATAATTTGAGCTACTAATTTTTTTTTGGTTTTGGGGGTGGGGTGGGAGGTTTGGAAATGACAGTATATAATTATGAATAACAAATAACTGGGTGGTAAAAGCTATTTGATCATCTTAATCTAAATCAAACATCTGTGCAGTGAAGCAGCACAAATAATGCCTCCAGGTAAGCAAATAACTAGTTGAGAGAGGAGAGTGGCAATTTGGCTCTTGTTTTCCTGTCTTATGGACCCAGAACGCCTGCCATTCTACTAGGCTAGGGAAGTTGACTCTTGTTTACCACTATGTGGCCAGTGCATAGCACCTTTATGGCATATACTGTGTGCTTAAGTATTTATTGAATGAATGAATGACTGAGTATGTGAGTGAACAGAGTAACTGATGAGATGCACCAGAGGAATGTGAGGGAGAGGAAAGGAACATTAACGGCATTTCACAGAGATTATCAGGATTCACCAATAATTAATCATTTTATTCTTTTGATATGTTGAGATAGGAATAGGGAGACTAAATTAGTTTTTTTTTCAATTGTGATAACATTGGTTTACAACACTGTGAGTGATGCAGAGGTATAGGTCCATACCCCGTCCAATGTCTGTTATCACACCACACCCTCCACCTAGGGACTTAATAGTACTCCATCATATTTCATTGGACTACCTCCATACTTTGTTCCCCACACTGTCCTTACCCTTCTGATAGCCTGAATACCACAGTTAGAGTTCTAGAGTTTATATTAGCTTGGTTTTGTCTATTCCTTTATTTTGTTCTCTGTGATCCACAAATAAATGAGATCATCTGGTATCTGTCGTTCTCCTTCTGACTTTTATTCACTCAATAGTATTCCCTCCAGAGCCTTCTACATCACAAATGGCAAGAGTTCATCTATTTTTTTACAGCTGACTAGTATATTATTGTGTATATATACCAATCTTCTTAATACACATCTGCCATTGGCCACCTAGGTTGTTTCCATAACTTGGCTGTTGTTAGTGGTACTACAGTGAACATAGGAGTATATATATATACCTTCACGGTAGTGTCTTTGCATTCTTCAGGTAGATATCTAGGATACCTAAAAGTGTGATTGGTTGATCACATGGTAGATTTATTTTAAATATTTTGAGAAACACCCATATTGTTTTCCATAGGAGTTAGGCATTCAGTCCATTCCCACAAATAATTATGCATGTTCCTTTTGTGCCACATCCTTGAGAAAGCTTGTTTCTGATCTTTTTGATATGGGTTGTTCTCACATGTGTAAAGTATGTTAGTTTTCATTTGCATTTCCCTGATGATCAGAAACAAGTATGCATTCATGTGCCTGTTGGTCCCCTGTCCAATTTTTTGGTTGGGTTATTTGTGTTACTGTTGTTGAGATGTATGAGTTCTTTGTAGATTTTGGATTTTACCCTTGTTGTATGTATTATGTGCAGACATTTTGCCCTTTGGTAGGATGTGTTTTCATTTTAATGATAGTTCCCCCCACCACTACCACTGTGCAGAAGCTTTCTTTTCGTTTAGTCCCATTTATTTTTGCTTCTGTTTCCCTTGCTGTTGGAATAAAGTCTGCAAAGATATTCCTGAAGCCAATGTTGTGGAGTGTCTTGGCTATATAAGGTTTGGCTATATAAATTTTTCAACATCTACCTAGTATCTCATGATCTTTTAAAAAGGTCTTCCAAAGTATTGAACATATGTAACCTCACTCTTTTACCAATAACCAAAACTCAGTTTGTCTTTTTCCCTACGTATTATATGGCTTCAAATCTTCCATCCAAGTGATGAGCTTTTGTATGTTGTATGAAATATTGGCATAGTTTCACTCTTTTGCATGTGGCTGTTCAGTTTTCCCAACACCATTTTGTTGAAAAGACTTTACTTTCTTTATTGTATACTCTTTGTTCCTTTTTCATAGGTTAACTGTTCACATAAGCATTGGTTTATTTCTGAGCTTTCTGTTGTATTCCATTTATCTGCATTTTTTTTTAATTTTGGCATCTATTTTGATTCCAAAATCATACTGTTTTGATTACCATAGCTTTGTGTTATAGCTTGATGTCTGGGCATGTGTTAGCTCCTTTCTTATTTTTTGTCAAATCCCTTTGACTGTTCGGGGTGTTTTATGGTTCCATAGAAATTTCAATGATGTTTCTTTGTTTTAACAGTGCCATTGAGTGATTGATAATGATTACTTTGAATCTGTTTATTGCTTTGGTTAAGTTGGCCAGTTTGGCAATGTTATTTTTTCCAATCCTTGAACCTTTCCATTTCTTTATGTCTTCTATTTCTTTTAATGCGTCTCATTTTTGTTGTTGTACAACTCTTTCACCTCTTTTGTTAAGTTTATTCCTAGGTGTTTAATTGTTTTTGATGTGATCAGATAGTTTTCTCCCTTTCTCTCTCTTCTACCTTGCCTAGCTAGGATTTTCAATACTATGTTGAATAGTAGTGATGAATGTGGAAATCCTTCTCTTGTACATGATCTTAGAGGAAAAGCTTTCAGTTTTCTCCATTAAGTATGATGTTAAGTATGATATTAGCTCTGTGTTTTTACATGTAGCCTCTATTATGTTGAGTATTTTCCTTCTATTCCCATATTTTGAGAGTTTTTTTTTAAGATTTATTTACTTATGCATACAAGAGCTGGGGTGCAGGCCAGAGACACAGGGGATGAGAGGATTCACCAGAGACAGAGTGGGGCACAGAATAGGCAGACTGACTGAAACACACTGCTGAGGGGAGCAGCGGGCGAGACAGGAGAGGTCTGCTTTGCCATGTGGGTTGCTCCCTGGCTGGCCGGGAACGAACTCGTACTGCAGAGGCTGCGGTTTGCTTCATAGTGCAGTGCTTAACCCCTTGTGCCACCAGGGAGGCCCCTATTTTGAGAGTTTTTATCTTAAGTGGCTGTTGAATATTCATTGCCTTCTGTGCATCTGTTTGATATGATCATAGGATTGTTTTTTATTGAACATATGTAATCTGACTTCTTTCCATTGTTGATGTAGTGAGTTACAGTTTAATTTTTGAATGTTGAACTACCCTTGCATCTCTGGAGTAAGTCCCAATTGGTCATGGTGTGTGATCCTTTTAATGCACTATTGAATTTGGTTTGCAAATACTTTGTTGATGATTTTTACATTCATGTGATCAAAAAGAAACTATAAACTAGCTTATTTTAAAGATTTGACTGTAATTTTTTCAACATCCTAATATCTCATGATTTTTTTTTTTAAGAGGCATGTATTTTTATTTATTTATTTATTTGTTTGTTTGTACATGCACTGGGTACAGTCAGAAGCGCGGGAGGGTTAGAGAATTCACCAGAGCCAGAGTAGGGAGCAGAGCAGGCAGAAGGACCGAAGTACACTGCTGAGGGAAGCAGCGGGCGGCAGGAGAGGTCTGCGCGCCATGTGGGACCCTCCTCCGGTGGCCGGTGGCCTGGGAGCAGCCGGGGATCGAACCAGCGCCGCAGAGGCCGCGGGCAGCTTCGCAACCCAGCGCTCAACCGCTGCGCCACCGGGGAGGCCCTATCTCATGATCTTTTAAAAAGATCTTCCAATGTATTTAACATATGTAACCTGATTCCTTTTCTTTTATTCAGTCATGGTTTTAGATTTTGTTGTTTTTTTTTAAAGATTTATTTATTTATTTATTTATTTATTTTTTTTTTTTTTAAGATTTATTTATTTATGCATTTATTCATTCATACAAGCACTGGGTACAGTCAGAAGCGCAGGAGGGTGAGAGAATTCACCAGAGCCAGAGTGGGGAGCAGAGCAGGCAGAAGGACCGAAGTACACTGCTGAGGGGAGCAGCGGGCGGCAGGAGAGTTCTGCGCGCCATGTGGGACCCTCTTCCGGTGGCCGGGGAGCAACCGGGGATCGAACCGGCGCTGCAGAGGCTGCGGGCAGCTTCGCAACCCAGCGCTCAACCGCTGCGCCACGGGGGGAGGCCCTAAAGATTTATTTATTTATGCATACAAGAGCTGAGGTACAGGCCAGAGGTGTGGCGGGGGCTGGGGTGAAAGGATTCACCAGAGACAGAGCAGGGAACAGAACAGGCAGATCGACCGAAGTACACTGCTGAGGGGAAGAGTGCGCGAGTCAGGAGAGGTCTCCTGCACCATATGGGTTAGCTCCCTGGCCGGCCGGGAATCAAACTCTGCAGAGGCTGCAGACAGCTTCATAGGCTGCGTCTTAACACCTTTCGCCACCAGGGAAGCCCGGTTTTAGAGTTTTTTAAAAAAATAGTCATTTAGTTGTAATTTTTGTTTTCCTTAGAGATAAAATAAATTGAGAAAAGAAAGTATCATTGTGAAATTAGATTGCTAGCACTCCCCCAAAAATGTTTCCTTATTTTATTTCCAGCAACACCCAGGAGCCTTCTCAGCAGTTGACTCCAGCAGTAGCCTCAGCACGTAGCATGCCTGAGAGGTCAGAGAGTCCAGCCTCCTCAAGACCAGGCGTGGCTGGTCTCCCCACTGCTGCTGCCTTCAAGCCTGTAGGATCCACCAGCATCATCAAATCACCAAGCTGGCAACGGCCAAATCAAGCAGGTATGCCAAAGAAATCTCTTGCTTTTTGTTTTTCAGAAGCATAGCCATGAAAATGTATACTGGGATATGATAGAATTCACTGGTGTAACCAATTCTCAACCATATAAATTCAAAAAGGGCTGCAGAAAGTAGCTAGAGCAGGGCCTTCCTGGTGGCGCAGCAGGTTGAGTGCTGAAATATGGAGCTGTCTGCAGTTTCTGCAGCGCCAGTACAACTCCCGGCCGGCCAGGGAGATTCCCAGAGGATGTGGCAGACCTCTCCTGTTGAGCCCACTGCTCCCCTTAGCAGTGTGTTTCGGTCCTTCTGCCTGTTCTGCTCCCTGCTCTGTCTCAGGTGAATTCTCTGGCCTGTACCCCAGTGCTTGAATAAATAAATAAATCTTTTAAAAAAAAAAAGAAAAAGAAAATAGCTAGAGCAGTTTTCCTCTTTATGAAAAGTGTTACTACATTCTCAGTGTGTTTGATAAAAACACTAATTGCATTATAATTATGGAACTGTACATTTCCAATTCAAAAGGCATATGTTGAATTGTAAATTCTGGGTTTTATTAACCGACTATATTATTAAAAGGTTATCCTTGGAAATGCAACATTTTAGTTTTGATTATATATATACAAAATAGTAATAAATGATTTATTACTGTCAAATAATTTATTACTGTCAAATAATTATTGATGAAAGGTTCTTTTACTCCTTGTCCTCTGAAGATTTAAGAGGCAGGAGTGGAAGAAGAACATAGTAGCAGTGAGGGAATATTTCAGTGGTTCTTCTTCAGTTCCACGGATAAACAGCTTTACATAAGTCTCTTAATTTCTTTAACACCCTCAGTTTTCTTTTTTTTTTTTTTAAGATTTATTTATTTATTTATACAAGCACTGGGTACAGTCAGAAGCGCGGGAGGGTGAGAGAATTCACCAGAGCCAGAGCAGGGAGCAGAGCAGGCAGAAGGACCGAAGTACACTGCTGAGGGGAGCAGCGGGCGTGGCAGGAGAGGTCTGCGCACCATGTGGGACCCTCTCCCATTGGCCGGGGAACAGCTGGGGATCGAACCAGCGTTGCAGAGGCTGCCAGCAGCTTCTCAAGCCAGCACTCAACCACTGTGTCACTGGGGAGGCCCAACACCCTCAGTTTTCTTATCTGTAAAGTGAACACAAATTAATTGATATCCTGTTTTCCAAGAATGAACAATCTCTCATCATTCTCCCTGGGTAGTCTTTCATCCAAATTCTTTTTACTACCTAGCCACTGATAGTTTACAATAATCTCTCTCATCCTGAACTCCATGACCCAAGCCCATTGACCTAGTTGCTGCTTCTTGGTGGCACCTCAAATGCAGCTTGTCTGAAAATATTACTTGTGTCTGGTAATGGTGCATCCATCCAGTACCAAAACTAGAATATAAGCTTGAGACCTCCAGCGCACATTCTCACAGAACTAACCCCACATGACTCTACTTCTGGTTTTTCTTTTATCCTCTCTCTGTTCAGAACCCTTGCCATTGCTCAGGCCTTTGCCATTATAAACAACTTGTAACTAATTTCCCAATCTCCTCACCTCTTCCATCTGATCTCCACACTTCATGATTCATTAAAGTCATTACCTTGCTGCCAATGCTTTCCTGTGTCTCCTCCCATTCCTTAATGTCTTATTTGAGTCCTTCATTCTGGCCTCTATTAAGTTTTTTTTTTTTTTTAAAGATTTATTTTATTTATTCAAGAACTGGGTTTGGGCCAGAGGCGCAGGAGGGTGAGAGAATTCGCCAGAGACAGAGCAGGGAGCAGAACAGGCAGATGGACTGAAAACACTGCTGAGGGGAGCAGTGGGCTAGACAAGAGAGGTCTGCTGTGCCATGTGGGTATCTTCCTGGCCGGCCGGGAATCAAACCCATGCTGCAGAGTCTGTGGACAGCTTTACAGCGCTGCACTCAAACTGCTGCACCACCAGGGAGGCCCCCTGTTAAGTTCTCAATCTCATCTGCTTGCTCCTCCTTAGTGACCATCTGAGCTCTGGTCTTACTAAAGCAACTTCAGTTATTGAGACTTGCCATGCCACCAGTTTTTTTTTTTTTTGGATGTTCTTGTTCCTTAATAGAGCAGACACTTCCATACCTAGCCCTTTTTGTAATTCTAGTCGTTCCTTACATGTATTGGGGTGTTGATTATATATAGAGAGTTGCTTTTTAAAAGATGTTAACTTCAAATGTTTATCATTTGATATGGTAAGAATATTTTTTAAAGTTCTAAAAGTGAACTTTTAATTAAGAAGCGTATTTATTTTTGTTATATATAATGTTTTTTTAAAATTCATTTTTTACTTAGGTAATATTTGGATACCCTCATCAATTGTTGCCACTGTAGTGCACCCTCCACCCAGTCACCCGGAGATCACAGAGTCTATTGTGCTTCCTTATCGCCTTATCTCCCTCTTCTCTGTAAACTTCAGTTCTGTAGTCAGCTTTCAAGGGTTAGCCCTTTAAGCTTGTCTTTATCTGACTCTTAGTTTACTTACTCCATATTCCACATATTAGTGACACCATCCAATATTTATATTTCTCTCCCTGACTTTTTTCACTTAGCATTATCCCCTCCAGCTCCATCCATGTTGCTGCAAATGACATGGGTTTATCTTTTTTGGTTGCAGAATAATATTCCGCTGTGTAAATATATACCATATCGTCTTGGTCCACTCATCTATTTGGGGGTACTTTCCAAAATTTGTAAATTTTATTATAGTAAAGAGCTCTGCAGAGAACATGGGAGTGCAAGTTTCCTTTTGAATTAGTGATTTTGAATTTTTTGGGTAGATGACTAGGAGTGGAATTAGTGGGTCATATGGCAAATGCATTTTTAATGTTCTGAGAACTTCCATATGCTTTCCATAAATTGTGTTCTGAAGATTTGTTCTCTGGGTGTTGTTATTATTTCCCTGAGGACTCATGTGCTGTTTGTTTGGTTTTTTTCTTCTCCCCAGTATTTACCTTGGGTTCCAACTGCTGTAGGCAGGACTTCCTCTGAGCATATCTCCTCACTTCACTACTCAGTGGTCTCACCAATCTGGGCAGGTAGCTACTTGGATCTTATGAATGTTGTGGGACTTGGGGCCACACTTGTTACCTCCCCTGACAGGGGTTCTAGATACCAGCTATCTAGGCAGGTGCTGGTGGAGTCTCACAGGAGGTCACGTGGCCCGGGGCCACTATGGCACCACCCCAGTTTGGGTCGAGGGCTCCAGCTCTCTGGGTGGGTACTGGCAGAATCTCACGGAAAATCACAGGCATCTGGCCACTCTGGCACTTTCCCTGGCAAGGGTACTAGGTTTCAGGGTCTGAACAGGGAGTGTACATAATGTCTAAATTTATTAGACACTACTCTTTGCCTAATGTTAATAAATTGTTTTTAGAAACATACTCTATATAACTTATTTCACATTGTCAGTTCATATAGTTTTTATATTATTATTACATGTTACTATTTTCAAAAGGCCTAGTAGTTTTGTTCTAGAGGGAAAGGGAATAATAGGCTGTTACATGTGATCTAGGCTAATTTAAAGAAAGTACTGTTTTATTACTTAAAAAACTTAAAATATTTAGGCTGATTAGCATCTGAATTTCTGAACTGTTAGATGACTTAGCTTTCTTCTCTTTGAGAAAAAATGCTGACACCCTAACCCCATATTTTTGTGTATTTGCATTTATGTTAAGATTATCTGTGATGATAGAGATTTGCTGTAGTTATTTTGTATGCACATAGTTATTTTGTTATGCATAGTTATTTTGTAAGCTTTTGGTAGGTAATTGGAAGGGAACAAAAGAATATTCCCCACAATAACAAGGAAAAGAATGAATTCATGGAATAGAAAGTAAAGGGAGAGCATAAAGTACATGTTTTGCTTTTGGAAATTAGGAATTTAAGGGAAATTCAGGAACAAAATACTGACTTATAAAGGGAAAAGGAAAAAATTCCTTAATGTGAAACTCCTGCAGAGTACATTTATGCAAAAGAACCACAAGAGGGCGAAAGAACCCTTTCTTCTCAGTCAAATTTAGTTTATTAAAATAATCACAGCAGGCAGCTATAATATGATGTACGTGGTTAAAATTTTAAATGTTACACTTTTTTTTTTAAAGATTTATTTATTTATTTATACAAGCACTGGGTACATTCAGAAGCGCGGGAGGGTGAGAGAACTCACCAGAGCGGGGAACAGAACAGGCAGAACAGGCAGAACAGGCAGACTCTGCCGAGGGGGGCAGAGGGCGTGGCAGGAGAGGTCTGCGTGCCATGTGGGACCCTCACCGGTGGCTGGGGATCAAACCGGCACTGAAGAGGCTACGGGCAGCTGGGCAGCTTCACAGCCCAGCGCTCAACCACCGCGCCACCAGGGGAGGCCCTTAAATGTTACACTTTTTAAAGAAAATTTAAGTGCTCTTAATTTTAGCAGAACTATAAAAGTATAAATATTATACATTAGTTAAATATAAAAAAGAAATATATTTTGCCATTGAAGTCATACTTGAATTACATCATGATGCTTAGTTCAAATCAGAAAATATTTATATAACTCCTCTGTTCTTGCTACAGGTGATATAAAATAGCATATTTTGTGACGAGTAATCATATGAATACAAAGTTTCCAACTACTCACATTCTTACTCTACCCAATAATATACATACCATATTTAATAAACAAAGCCACCACCTCAGAATCTACTTTAATTCTTTGATAGTTTTAAGAGCTTCTTAATGCAGTGGTAAAGCTCTTTGATTTAGTGCATGATAAGTGTCTCCTTATGAGTCCTTATGTTCTTCACAATTTACCTGTGAAAACTAGAGTGCTAACAAAGGAATATAAAAACTGGAAAAGTAAGTTGCTGGACTAGTGTAGATAAAGATTAAGGTGGGTGGCATTGCTTCTTAAATTGAGTACTTCTGGACTTTTTTCTCTTAATAATGCGCAGCTGTGCTCTAGGGTAGACAAAGGCCAAAAAAAGATTTTTGTCC